ATATATAGAACGAAAACTTTATTTCCTGATTTCAATTAAGTGCTCTATTAATAGATTCTGATGCTTCCATGCCAGGGTCTAATTATATATTCCTTTTTTAAGAGATTTAAGTATAAGGTATTCCCCATTAATGTGTACATACACTTTTAATAATTACAAAGGCAATTTTATTAAAACACATTTCATTTTCAAAATTGAGCGATCAGCTGTTAAAGTGTGTATAATTTTGGGAAGGACACTCTGTATATTTCTTACAAAGAAATCAAACATCAGATTTCTTTATACACATAGAGAGATCCAATGTTTGCAACAAAAGATACCAACACTTCCAACATTTAGTGTGGTTCACTGCAGCATTTAAAATTGGGATGGGAACTTCTAGATGATTTGGCATTTGGCATTCATACTCTGGGCCCTTCAGAAATACCATGGAGAATGTTAGCTGAGAAGGTGGTGGTCTTGACAAAATTTTTAATGTATAACTTACTAATAAGTTAAATCTTGACTTTCTTTTTTAAAAATCTTTATTGTTGAGATTACAGATGTCCCTCTTTTTCACCCTCATTGCCCCCTTCCACCTGGTTCCCACCCCACCCCAGGCCTTCTCCACCCCATTATCTGTGCCCCTACGTAATGCATATATGCACATAAAATCTTTGTTTAATCTCTTCCCGCACCTCCACTGCCCTTCCCTCTGAGAATCTTTTCATTTCCATGCCTCTGATTCTATTTTATTCACCATTTTATTCTGTTCATTAGATTTCTTATTTGTTTATTTTGATTTTTAGATTCAATTATTGATAGGTATATATTTGTTGCCATTTTGTTGTTCATATTTTGATCTTTTTCTTTTTCTTCTTCTTAAAGAATACCTTTCAATATTTCATATAATACTGATTTGGTGGTGATGAACTCCTTTAACCTTTTCTTGGCTGTGAAGCTCTTTATCTGACTTTCAATTCTAAATGACTAGAGGCCTGATGCATGAAGATTCGTGCAAGAATAGGCCTTCCTTCCCGTGGCTGCCAGCACTGGCTTCCCTCCGGCACCTGGGACCTGGGCCTTCGCTCTGGCCACCGCCTCCCACCTTTGCTTTGGGCCGGAGCCGCATCCCGCTCACTCCGGGCCAGCTCCATAGCCACCGCCCAGAGGCCGGCCCTGAGCAACCGGCAGGGGCTTGTGGGAGGCTTGGCTTCCTTTGTCGCTGGGGCGACGAAAGAAGCCAAGTGTCCCGCCCGAAGGAAGCCAAGCATCCCGCTTGCCCTGGCTGGTTCCAGCTGGCGCCACCATCTTTGTGGCTATGGGCGCTGCCATCTTTGTGGCTATGGGCGCCACCATCTTTGTTGCAGAGTGATGGTTAATTTGCATATTACCCTTTTATTAGTATAGACTAGTGGCCCATTGCACCTGGTGTAGTAGGTGTCTTGTAGGGCCCAGTGGCTAAGCCTCCCAGTCACCTGAACTGAGCACTCTAGGTGCACCCCTTTGTGGGCTGTGAGCACAGTCTTGTTGTAGTTGAGACTTGATTGCTGTTGGTGTCACTGGGAGGAATTGACCTCCAGGCCAATTGGCTGTGAGGACAAGCTGCGACTACAATGGGAGAGCTGCTATGCAGGAGACACCCTTTTGGAGCAGGACTTGCTTCAGAGGGGCTTTGGCGCTCACTGAATCTGCCCCTTGAGTGTGTTGCTTATGGATGTGAAGAGTTGTAATCTGGTATAGTCTTACACTGACCACTGGGTACACTGGCTCTTGGGTCTCCAGGGAGGTGCAAAGTCAGTCACTGCCTGGGGCCACCCAGCAGGAGCTACAGAGAGATCTGCAGATTCCTCCTCTTTTTATCGGGTTTGGAAGTGCCCAGATGAGGCCCAGCTATGAAGCAAGGCAGGCTGGTTCTGGTGCCAGGTCTTGGGCCCTTTACCCTTTGTACACCATAAGTGTCTATAGATGCAAGCAGCGGACCTTCCCCAAACACTACGTGTGTCTACAGCTGCAAAAAAACTAGCAATATTACACTTGGTGATTTCCAGTTACAGGTAATCAGGCAATTAATTAAAAAACATAAATTAGCACAACCGGAGAAAAGAAAATGTTATGCCACCGACTTGCCATCCAGATTATATAAACGACATTTTTTGGGGGAATATCTGCTGATTGGAAAAAAAAAAACCTATGTGGAAAAGGTGTTTGGTATATTCTTCTACTAGTATGGTACAAAATAGCAAAAAGAAACCAAATACTTTTGTAAATAATGTAATGTTCCATTATGTGTTGTACTGTGTTTGAACTTTATCATACACTGAGGCAATTTTAATAATAACTAAGTGTAAATAATACTTTTTTTTCCCATTGTGTATGTGCTACGTAAAAATAATTAAAAATGTCCTTTGGGCCCTAACCGGTTTGGCTCAGTGGATAGAGCGTCGGCCTGTGGACTGAAAGGTCCCAGGTTCGATTCCGGTCAAGGGCATGTACCTTGGTTGCTGGCACATCCCCAGTGGTGGGTGTGCAGGAGGCAGCTGATTGATGTTTCTCTCTCATCGATGTTTCTGACTCTCTATCTCTCTCCCTTCCTCTCTGTAAGAAATCAATAAAATATATTAGGAAAAAAAAAATGTCCTTTGGAAGAATTAAAAAAAAAAATGTTTTCCCTAAGTGGCAGCCCTGACCAACTTTAAAATAATTTTTCGTGAGAATTTTCAACTGAAAATATTCAAGAACACCTGAATTGTAATATATTTATTTTTATAATATCCACTGCAAATTGATTTTTTAAATTAAATTCAAAATATTGTAGTGTGTGGGGATGGTTTCCGTTTTGGACCTGTGGCAGTTAACTGGTTAATTGATAGGTTTGGAGCTCCCTGACCCAGCTGCAGCTTGTTTGACAGATTTTAGCCTGAGCAAGAACAGGCCATTCCAGGGCAGAGCAAACAGAAATGGCGCCAGTCAGCAGTAACTGGTTTGGCTCAGTGGATAGAGCGTTGGCCTGCGGACTGAAAGGTCCCGGGTTCGATTCTCGTCAAGGGCATGTACCTTGGTTGTGGGCACATCCCCAGTAGGAGGTGTGCAGGAGGTGGCTGATCGATATTTCTCTCTCATCGATGTTTCTAACTCTTTATCTCTCTCCCTTCCTCTCTGTAAAAAATCAATAAAATATATATTAAAAAAAAAAAAAAGAAATGGCACCAGTCAGCCCTGCAACCTACCGGGGAGGTCCCAGCATAGGAACAATGATCCTTGCAAGCAACTCTGTCTGAGAGAAAGCTGCCCCTGAGTTCTTGCCCCGATGCTAGACAATCCAGTTCCTTCTCGTATGTGTCTGGGTCCCCCAGAGCCTTGCCCTGGTGCTGGAGTTCAGAGGAAGCAGGACCTTGTAACTTCAGTTTGTGGTATCAGCCTTTTAAGAGGAACAGCTGGGTTTCCAGCAGCCTCAGTGTCACTGAGCCCCAAGTTGCACTGGTTTTTACAGCCCATAGTTACAGGGACTTCTCTTCCCAGCTCTGGGGCCTTGGACTGGGTTTCTGGTGTGGGGCTGGAACCCCTTGCTCCTCATGGGTGGCCTCCACAGAGACGATCTCTCTCCCGGTTAAAAAAATGATACACATGGATGCTGGACCAGCCCATTCTGCACTTCCTCACCTCCTACCAGTCTCAGTGTGCTTTATTTACTTCTCTAGTTGTAGGATTTCCATTCAGCCAGCTTCCAGGTGTTTCTGGATGATGGTTGTTCTGTATTTTAGTTGTGGTTGTGGGAGCTGGTATTTACCTATGCCGCCATCTTGGTTCCTCTCTAAATCTTGACTTTAGAAGAACATGGTATCTCTTTAGCCACTGCTCTATAATAGGTATTCTGAGAGGTTATAGAAAATTAGATGCACTACAAAGATCTGATTAAACACTGAGAGTGAAGGTAGCCTTCAAAGGTAATGTAACCATTTAGGGATATCCTAAACAGGAACAGGCCAAGCAACACAGAGAATCCTTTCTGCGTCTATTAATTATGAGTCCCAAAGGCATCTAGCCAAGATTTAGGAAATACCTATATTATTAAGAAAGATAAATTATTTTATTGGGAACAACACCACAAAGGAAAACTTTATGGAATTACATGGCCCTTTGGAGTGGATGGAGGAAAAGGTAGTTAAAATATAAGTGCTATATTAACTAAATCCTCTTTACTAATTTCAAATGAGAATTACTTTTCACCACCAAATACAGAAAGAAGTACATACATCGGTATCATTCAAAAAAATTTAGTAAGTGTACAACAAAAATGAAAATATCTCTTAGAAATATTTGATTTGTTCCTAACTCTAAATAATACTTGATAAAGCTATTAATTAGCATGGAAGAAAAAAAAAACATTTTCAAATCCAAAATCCATATGACTGACAGCCTGAAATCTTCCTTTTGTTCTATATCTTTCAGACATATAAGAGATCTGAAATGAAAGCTAGTCAGGAAGTTATGGTTCCTAACAGGGAATATAATAAATTCTAAATAGCCTCAAAATTTAAAACTGTTATGGAAAATAACTCTCTTCTGCTAACACAGTACTCCTTAATGAATAATGTTACATTCAATTACTTGGTATTAAAATGCTCATCTCCACCATGAGTAGAAACTCTAATTTTAATCAGTGATCTATAATAATAAAAGCGTAATATGCTAATTAGACTGGACGTCCTTCCAGAGGAAGCTGGGGCTTTGACGGAAGCCTGGGTCCCAGGTGTCAGAGGGAAGCCAGTGCCGGTAGCTTGGGGAAGAAAGGTCTACTATTGCACCATTTTCGTGCATTGGGCCAGCCTCTAGTATTTATATAAAGATTATGGTATTTATCATTTTGGGGTAATAGCTATTTAAATGTTATTAAAATTTTTACTAAAATATAACTTTTTTGATGAGTATGATTATACAAAATAACATACAAGCTAGGTTTGAAAACCCCACACAACATTTATATGTCATTTGTATTTAAATAAATTTGGAATTGAAACCTTTATCTTGATAACTGTTAGCTGTCCCCAGGTATTGTAAGTCAGAATCCACACTTCCAGTTTTACCACATATCTGTGAAAATCCAAGTTGTCCACATTTCCCAGAAAGATTTGTCTGATGAGTCCCAGTAGTGCCTTTGGAAGGAAGAATAAAAATATAATAAAAGTTAGCTTTATTTCATGAATAAATCTAATTTCATAAATGGTATCATTTGTGTGGAAGTAAATATAAAAATACATGGATAGTGATCATGGCAGGCAAGAAAGGCATAAAGCTTTTGCTACTGGCAGAGCTGATTAGTGGCAGGGATTAAAGGTCAGAAAATAGACAGGTAAAGTACAGAGAAAAACATATTGAAAAATGCAGACAAAGGCAATTTCTTCCTACATGCTCCCTTCTCTTACCATGGAATGTTCCTTCAGACCTGGCTTTCCTTCTTCCTAGTATTTGTAAGTATACACTCAACTCAAAAAATTGCTATTGCAGAACACGTCTACCTTCTTTCCTAACATATAACACAGCATTCACATAGCTTCCAAGCTTATCCAGGTATACTTCCCAGATTGCTTTCTCTCTCCTGTGGCTAGTTAAGGTTAATTCTGGGCAGAGGAATAAGTCTGAATTAAAGAAGGTAATAATGGCCTCTCTGGCATTCATCTACACTAATAAAAGAGAAACATGGTAATTGGCGTACGACCGCTACCCTTCCCATTGGCTAATCAGCGTATCCTTATGCAAATTAACTGTCAGCCAAGATGGCGGCCGGCAGCCATGCACTGAAGCGAGCAGGGAGGCTTGCTTCCTCCAGGGACTGCAGACTCCAACGTTCCCCGCCTCACTTGCCGGACTCTCAACTGCAACTCTAAGCAACTATTACTATGTTGCAAATAAGAAGCTAAACAAAACCGGCTGTCAGTCAGCCCCGGACCGCAACATTGTATCCATGTTTTCAGCAGCGAGGCCTCAGAGCTAAAGCTGGCCCAGAATAAAAAAAAAAAAGAAAGAAAACAAGGAGCGGTTGGGAGCTTTTAGTCAACTGCCAGTGGGAAAACAGCCCTCAGCCCCTCAGCCAGACTGGCCAGGCACCCCAGTGGGGACCCCCACCCTGATCCAGGACACCCTTCAGGGCAAACCAGCCAGCCCCCACCTGTGCACCAGGCCTCTATTCTATATAGTAAAAGGG